CGGCGCGGCGCGCCCCTGCGGGGTGGGCGGGGCCTCCCGAGGAGGGAGCGGGCGCCGCGCGGGGGGGGGCGAGGAGAATGTTGTGGGGCTGACCACCCCCTCCCGCAGCACCGCCCCTGTGGTGGGGCCACGCGGCTGTGTGCGGCCCGCCCGGGCCCTGGGTAGCTGCCGCAGGCAGAGAGCGGGCTGCAAACAGAGCCCGCATCGGCTCTGTGCTGGAGGTAACAGGGAGGGGCTGGGACAGCGCAGCCCCGCCTCCTCCACCACCGGCCGCCCGGAGCTGCGCGGGCAGCTGTTGCCATCTACGCAGATCCGGTGGGTCCCCGCCCCCGCTGCCTGGGGCGGGGCCAGCACAGTGCTGGGGCAGGGGGCGGGATGTAGACCCCCGCCCCCCAGCTGTGCGTCTCCTCCCGCTTATATGAGGTAAGCACGTGGCTCTGGGCGGCTTCTAGCCTGGTAGTTTGCCCGTCTTGGTTCCTGCAAAAACGAGTTTAAGATTGTGTATTAAGTTCTTTTTGCCTTGTTAAATTATTTCAGACTTCTCTCAAGCCACTTTGTACCATTCGGTTTATTTTCCTCTGTTGAACTGGTTCATATTCAGCTTTTGCGCTCTCTGCACATAAATCGGCTTATTTTGCTCTGGTAAATCGTTTCGTACTCAGTTTTTTTCACTCGCTTAAACCAGTTCACACTTTTCAGGTTTTTACTTCATTAAAGCAGTTCGTATTCAGTTTATTTCGATCTCTCTACTTTGCCATTCCTCTGCATTCCTGGATTTAAACACTTCATATTGCTCATTTTTTTTGTGCGTTTTTTCTGCTCTCTGATTGCCTTCTTGAAAACACTTACCTAGATTTACACACACTTCAAATAATTCAGTTCTTTTTAATTGTCTGCTTTCTGTTTGCCTATTTACATTGTTTGCCCTGCTTTTGTTAGCGTGAACTTCAGGAAATTTTACAGTTAGAAGCCATATAGATACATAACCCTGGATAGTAAAAAACCAAAAGCTAGGTATTCAAAAGTTTCAGCCAGTATGCAGAGAATTGTATGGGTTTGTGCAGCCAGGAGATCATGTTGGCTGTCGTCTGTGCAGTAAGAGTATGGTATCTTGTACTTCCAGCGTCCAGCACCATTTTCCAGCCAAGTACGAAGCCAAATTTTCTGGAGCTGATGAAGCAGACGAACATGAATCCATTTGAAAAGCTTTTGATCCGTTCCAAAAACAGCCAGCCAGCTTTTCTAGTTTCGTAACTAGAAATACTCTTTCCACCCAGGCAAATTACGTTGTAGCTGTAGTATAGCTTCTTGGAAATACAAGTGTTTTACAGGCGGAGAATACTTAAAGGATGCTTTCTTAAAATGTGCTGAGGATCTGTTTCAGGATTTCGTGAATAAGAAAGACATCATTGCTCGTATTGATGAAATGCCACGTCATCCAGGACTCTTCAAAGGCAAATAGATGCAATGGCAACTAATGTTAGGGAACAAATGGCTCAAGACCTCCATGTTTGTGATGTGATGAGCCTTGCCCCGGATGAAAGCACAGACATAAATGATATCCCTAACCCCGTCTTGCTAGTTCAATATTTTATCTCTGGGGAAGTTTGGGAGGAATTGTTTTCTTTGAGCGCTATGCATAGCACACCAATGGCCAACAATATACATAATGCTGTCAAAGATATTTTCATGCAGCAATAAATTGACCTGCACAAAGTGTTCTCTGTTTTCTCTGTTACCACTGATGGCACACCTGCTATGATGGGTAAAACAGCTGGATTTTTTAAACTTTTGAAAACTGAGATTGGACATCCTCTTATGTGTTTCCATTGTATTATTCATCAGGAGAGCCTGTGCGCTATGATCTTGTCTTCTGATTTAAATGAAATCATAACAATGGTTGTGAAAATTGTGAGCTTTTTGATTGCTCACTCCTCTTTGACACAGGAGATTCTGTGAACTTTTAAATGATATGGATTCTGCATATGGAGATTTAGTGCTGCAAAGTAATGTATGCTGGCTGAGTTGAGGTAACGTGCTCAAGAGATTTGTTGCTTGTCTCAAATCCATCAAGTTTTTTTCTTAAGGAAAGTGGTCAGCAATATGCAGACCTTACTGACAACAGATGGCTAACAAAACTGATGTTTTTGACAGACATCACATCACGTTTAAATGATTTGAATACTAGATTACAAGGAATACAGAAAACCATTCTTCAGCTGTCTGAAGACTGGAAAGCTTTCTGTGATAACTTATCTGTTTTCAGATGAGATATCGAAACATATGCCTTCCGTTACTTCCCCCGTCCGAAAATCCTTTCTGAGTAGCATCAATTGAATAATAAGGATATATGCAACTACAGAAGACAGCTAGAAGATGAGTTCATAAGACCATTCCAAGACTTGCAACAGGACCCATGTTTTCATTTCTTGTGAACCCAGGTAGTACTAGGGTAAGTGATATAGAACTGTAGTACTTTCAGTGGATGAACATTGAAGGATTTGAATTGGAACTGATTGACTTTCAAAGCTTATACATTTAGGTACCGAAGTTCAAAATCACTGCAAGGTGAATTAGAGAATGAAAGGGACTGGCAACTCAAGATTACAGCATGTTGGTCTTTCCTTCCTGAAAAGAATGCCTGCATGAAAAAAGTAGCTTTTGCCTTGGTGTCTGTCTTTGGATCCACTTATCGCTGCGAACAAGTGTTTTCACAAATGAAAACCATGCTCAGTCCTATGAGAAACCATCTGATGACTGACACTTCAGATTCATGTTTGCATTTGACAACCAGCTACCAACCTAACATCACCAAACTCAGCTGTCAGAACTAGGGCCAAGGCCGCCACTAAGAAAAGATCTTTTACTTGAGAGCATTTTTACTTGTTTATGGCAGTGAATACAGAGCATCTATTTTAAGGAATTAAATAAGCGTATCCTTAAAGAACCAACATCTTCCATGGCAACATCTCTTTGGAGAGGTATGGGTGTGGTATAGAGGTGGAGGAACCATGCGAAGACCCAGGATGTGATCTTCCGCGCCTCACTGTAAAGGCCAAGGACAACCAGGTGCCAGCTCCTGTCTTTCTCTATTCTACCTACCATTTAAGGCCAAGATGTGGTGGATGAACAAAGAGAAGACAGGAGTAGGGTACGTAGGAGTGGGCCTACACTGCCCCCTGCCGCAGTATCACCAGGTGATTAGTGCTTTTCTCTTCTCTCTCCTTTTTTCTTTCCCTCTCTCTTCTCTCCTCTTTTTTCACTCTGTCATCACAACATGCTTAAAAAAGAACACACAACAACGAAGGTAGTATTTGAAGTTTTATTTATTGTCACCAGATTTAGAATTTTTAGAAAACCTGGTGTTTACAAGACAACATCTATGATTATTAACTATATTAATATGCAGTGTGTCCTGCCATGTACCCCTGGCCCTGGTTTGGTTTTTCTGGTATGCTGGCACTCCAGCACCTTACAAGGTAGATATTGTAGTTTTTTCAGCACTCCAGCCAAAAATGTTGCCTACCCCTGGTCTGGTAGAATTTAATAGAAAAGCATACCCTTGCTATGGAATTCTATGAGATTATTTTTAAAAACCCCTAGAAAGGAAAGCATGCACCATTACAAGTTTGAAGCTTTCTATGAACCCATCTGGTTTCACTGTTATTAAATTCTATAGACCTTTTCCATACATACAATTTATGTGCTTTTAAATAAGGCTAAAAACTTAGCTCCCCCACTAGGGTATTGTGAAGTTGGAAGCATGGTTCTGCTCCCAGTGAAGTAAGATGCACACCTCCCACTGCAGAATCAAATCCTTAATGTAACAATGTTTGTGAACATTTTTAAGAACCTCTGGTGCATGAACAACATAGATGTAGCTGCTTTCATTTCAGTCGCACACAGCCTCGTCATTAATCTCCTGTACAGATTCCACATTCCCCATGTGAACAAGATCAATATTAATGTACACTTTGAGTACACTAGTTAACAACTGCTTTCTTTATGCCTAATCCTATAAGCACAGCGTGACTTCTATTTATTATTTTTTGCATTAAGTATTAAATAACCATTAGAAAATAAAGCTAAGAGTATATTAAAGTCATGCAATGAAGTGCTGGAAAGTCACAAAATGCCAGTGCCAACTTTGCTGTATGCATTACAATAATCTTTAACTAGATCAGTGGTCTCCAACCTTTTTACTGTTGGTATTTAAAAGCCAACTTCAGGATCTCCCATGTGCCACCCCCCTTGCCCAGCCGGTAAGTTTGTGGGCAGGGAAGTGGGGTGGGGCAGATGGAGGCAGAGGGAGAAAAAATTATTTGAGGACAAGCCTCCCCAGCACGTAAGTCTGTTGGGGAGGGGGACTGAAGCCCCATCCCTAGTCCCGCTTCCTCCCTTACCACCGGGACCTTAATCTGCCCCCACATCCAACAGTGGGGAGGGAAGGAGGGAGGAAGAGAACAGGGCTGCAGCAGGGGCAGGCCCTACGCAGCCGGGGTGGGCAATGAAGCCGCGAGTGGCTTCATTCCCTGCCTCAGCTCTGCAGGGCCTGCCCTTGTTCCAGCCCCCCTCCCTCACCACTGCTGCAGACACTGGCACTGCCCAGCATTTGTGTGGGGCACATGCCCCCCTATCTGTGTGCAGTGAAGGTAGCTGCTGTTGCAGGCTGGGCCTTGCACCACAAGCCCAGCTGTAGCTGGCCCAGGAGCGGCTCAATGCCATGTGTGCCCAGCCTCTGGACTGAGCCTTGTCCCTTGCCTGCCCAGCAGTGGGACATGCAGGGTGCATACAGTGGCAGGAGCCCCCCTGCGCCCTTCAATGAGCCACCTGGGCTCGAACCTCCCACCACCCACCCGGCTGACCAGGGCCCCGCTTAACTTATCTCTCCTCCTGCCTATGCAGCACTGTCCCTGATCGTGGGGGCCTCAATCTCGCTCTCACACCTTCCCTTGCCCACAGACTGACCTGCTGGGCTGGGGGTGGGGCATGCGCATACATGCACACATGCTCAGCCCCCCACCTGAGCCTGGGATCAACTCCAAGAGGCTCTGAGATCTATTGGTCGATCGAGATCCATCGGTTGGTGACCACTGAACTAGATCATCACGTTGTATAATACAGTATACCATGTGTCTCCAGTATTAGATTTCATAGATTTCATAGACATTAGGGCTGGAAGGGATCTCGGAAGATCATCAAGTCTAGCTCCCTGCCCCAGGGCAGGAAGTCAGCTGGGGTCACAGGATCCCAGCAAGATAAACGTCCAATTGACTCTTTAAAGAGTCCAGAGTAGTTGCTTGAACCACCTCTGGTGACAGTTTGTTCCACGCCTTGGGGGCTCGGACAATAAAGTTCTTCCTTTTGTCCAGCCTGAAATGGTCTTGGAGGAATTTGTGACCGTTTGACCCTGTCATCCTGTG